AACAATTTTTTTTTTTCTTTCTCTCTCTCTCTCTCTCTCTCCTTATTTATAACATCAAAATAAACATTCCATTATCATTTTTTCTTTCCTTTTGCATACTTCTTTTTCTTTTATCTGCTAACCTTTTTCTTCTTATACTTTATATATTGAAACATAATTTATTCTATTAAAAATCACTTCATATCATATTTTTTTCTTATTAAAATAATTATTTCTTCATGCTAACTTTCCTTTCCTTCTTTAATCCTCTCTCTTTCTCTCTCTATCCCTCTTTGTTTATGATTGTCACAATTTGAATTCTTACTGTCTTACTGATGTAATTTGAAAAGTTGTTTATTTAAAAAAAGAAAGTTATGCACTTCCGGATACGGTAGTTTGCCCTCATCGTATGATGTGTGTTTCTCACCAGGTTGCCATTCTTCAATCATACACCATCACCAATCGGTAAAAGTGGCACTTTGTCGTTGACATTGCCGCGTTGCGCTTCTATCACCGTTGTTGTTTTACCATTAATGAATAAAAACCTATATATGTGCATGTATATATATATATATATGTATATGTGTGTGGTGTGTTGTGTATGTGTGTGTGTACGTGTGTGTGTATATATATGTGTGTGTGTTTGTGTGTGTATGCTCAAATAACGAAAACGATCAGATGGTATTCATTCTTGTTCCGTTTGTTGTTGATACTGCAGGTTATTTTTTTTTTTTCGCTTGAAGAAAGAGAAGGCGAAGTTACGATAATGGATCGATTGCATGCTTTGAACTTCAATTTCAGCTTTTTTTCCCTTCTACTCTGAAAATATGGATTTAATACAGTATAACAAACGAATTTAATCCAACGAAATGTAACAGGCTATTCGATACGTAAATCTACTGTACCCATCTGCAAAACAATATTATTGTAATTTTTTCAATCAATACTTTCATTTTTATTCGAAATACTGTATGTCGCCGAATTTCTTGGTTTCAAATTTGGATAATTAAACCTTTATTCCTCAAATTCGGTAATACAGAAACGAACTCAACGATTATAATATTAATATGAACAAAAAGGGGACCGAAAACCAAATGACGCCCGATATTATCTTCCCAATAGACCTGTTGCAACACATCTTGCGAAAATGATTTGGCGCTCAGGACCTCCTTCTTTTTATTACTGCAATTTCGCGTTATGACTTTTGGAGTTTTTCCGACACTGTAATCATATTAGTATATCTTATTCATTGTATAGTTATTTTGTGTTATTTTTCACTACAGAACAATTAAAAGATAGATCGATTGTAGAAAAAACAAAAAAAAAGTTGAAAAATTTTGCAGGTGATTTTATCGAACAAAATAGCAATTTGAATATCAAAATAAATTTATAATTTTAGAAAATCAAAACTATTGTTACTTTTCTTTTTTTAGCCTAATCTTTAAATTTTTAATTTGATTTTTAATATTTATAATGCAGGTTGAAAATTGATAAACTCTATTAAAAGCAGTTTTTTTTCAAGTTTTTTCCTTAAAATTTTTTTTTTCTCTGGTCCGAACATGAAATATGGAATTTGAAAATCTCTTCTATTTCAATACAATTTCTTGATAGCGAAATTTTACGATTACTTTGGTATTACTTATATTACTTTTACTTAAATTACTCCTCAAATGGGCGACAAATCAAACATCAATATCGAATTTAATTTTTTTTTCCGCCCCTTTTGCTTATAATTTCACGAATTATGAAATTATTTCTGAGTAGCTGAAAAATGAGGCAATTAATTTCTTTCATTTCATTGCATTTTGCAAATTTCGAATACATTTAAATGAATCTTCATTTACAATCTCAAATAATAAATATGAAATTTTCGCAGGCTTTTTATTTGCTGTGTTAAAAGCGAGATAAAAGAGACAGAAAGTTTTACAGCCTTCACTTAATGTCAACTCTTATTTATATCAGTGAAAAAAAAAGGGCTTACTCACTTTGACACTTACTTTAAGCTTCACTAACTTTTTATACTTTTTATATCTACGCTCCTTTTTTTTTGCAATTTGTAATTCATGTTTTGCGGAATTTTATAATAAATTAAACTTGAAATTATACTTTTCTCAATCTCAATGAAATTATTGTGAAATTAATTTTGCAATATAAGATAGTTTGGGTACACAGACAACTCATAAAAAATTTTGGTTCGCATTCGTATTGTTAAACGAAATGGATGGGCATTGATAACAAAATAGTAATGATACTATAAGATAGGATGATGAATGAGAAGAATCTTTTGTTAATTCGTTAATTCTAAATTATAAAATAATTCTGGTATTGTAACCGGATGGCTTCTAAAATGTTGACACAAAAAAAATTCGCTGATTTTAACATCCATCATTAAGACAACAATACAAAATGATATTGTTAATGTCTTCTCTCCCTTAACATCTTTATTTAATCTTTTCTCTTTTTTTCCTTTTTTTTGTTTTAAAGTAGTTTTCTGGCCAAGTTTTTTTTTGTCTTAGGCAAACACTTAAGCAATAAAGTTATCAGGCTTCTAGCCCAAAAAAATTTCCTAAAGTTTGGATAACTTTTTTATCTATATAAAAATTACATAGTAAGTCATAATGATTAATCACTAATGCTGTTCGTTTCATCATATACTGTTATCAGTTATCGATACGTTAGATGAAATAAACAATATTCATATGTTAGATTCGAGTAATATTTGAGGTATAAAGGCGCTAAATATGTTAAAAGATGGAACTGTTATAATTTCATTTTTAATTTTATTTTAATTTCACTTAAAATAATACTTAGTGATTTGTGGAGTATTTGCAAATTTGAACTGCTTTAAAACTTCTCATGAATGACAGGTCAGCAGAGAAATTTCAATCTTATTTAAAATTTTAATAATTAATCAATTCAATGAATCAATTAATCCGTATTAATGATGGATAAGCTTTGGATAGTTGCATCATTGTCAATTCGTAAATGCATCGCTCTTATTTGCTGCGATAATTTTCTAGCTATGTATTAAAATTTTTCAAATTTTAAGGTTGCAAAAGAAGTAAAGATATTTAAGAGTAAAAATAAATGATGTACCGTTCTTCTTATTCTTCTTCTTCTTCTTCTTCTTCCTCTTATTATTATTATT